TCAGGACCCACATGGTGGAATAAGAGAACCAACTTTCACAAGTTATCCTCTGAGCTACAGATACAGGCTGTGACATGCATGTACCCCTCCCATAAAATAAATAAATAAATTTAAAAAAAAATTCAGAGGGTTCATCCCTATCTCACTGACTCAGGTAGACTAAGAACCTCCTATTTTTAGGAGGAACATCCCCCCTGCCGTTTGGATTTGTCAAAGTTTCTGTTTGGTTTTGAGCATTGAACATGGGTGACTCCATTTTGGTTTGGCCAGGTTCACCGTGGCCTGCTATAAGTGCTCAGTAAAGTCTCTCAGCCACTTCTGTATCTTTAACTCCTTCCAGAATCCCATCTCTTCCATAGCTGAAAAGCCCCTGCAGCCCCTTGATGAGTCAGACTTCTGAGCTCTAGAAAGGTGGTCAGGTCTCCCAACTGGGGAGGGCCAATCCCAACAACAGGAGTCCTAAAGTCTTGTCTTAGCTAGGTTTTCTATTGTTGTGAAGAGACAGCATGACCATGGCAGTTCTTATAGGGGAAAAACATTTCATTGGGGAGGCTTACATTTTCAGAGGTTTAGTCCATTATCATCATGGTGGGACTTAGTGGTGTGCAGACAGGCATAGTGCTGGAGAGCTAGCGGAGAGTTCCACATCTTGCACAGGCAACAGGAAGTGGACTGACTCACTGGGCGTGGCTTGTGCTCATATGAGACCTCAACGCCTGCCTTCACAGTGACACACTTCCTCCAAGACCACACCTATTCTAACAAGGCCACAGAACTATTGCTTGATACCAAGATCCACAATGTTCCAAACCTGTGAGGCCAGGCTGGCAGGCCCAACCATCAGGGAGGAACAGGTGTACCTGAGCAGGGGAATTCCATGTCAATCAAAATAATGCAGACCACCTAATGTATGGGGCAAGCCCCGCCCAGGACAAAGTGTCAGCATCTTCAGCTGATCCAACCCATCAAAGATGATCACAGCTGGGCTCTTTGATTGTTGACTGTTCTCTTGGAGAGGGCCACGAGACACTCACCCTAAGTGCCCACTCCCCACAACCAGATGTTCACAATTCTGCCCCAACTGTATGTGGTCTCAGGATATCTAGGAAGGGTGGAGTATATAGGAGGGAAAGAGCCAGGAAGGGGCTCCCTATAACATAGCCATGGGGAAGCTATCATCCCTGCTGAGTGCAGATGCTCCAGTGTGGCTGTTTCAAGGTCATTTGTGCCCCTTCCTACAACCCCTTACTCATTGCCCTGTAAATCTAATAAACTCATTAGGTCCTCCTGAGTGAACTTTGGTGTAATCATACCTCAGTTTCATGAAGACTTCAGAAGGAGGGGTAGATGTTTACATCTCCAAGGAAGGGATTTTTTAGCAATACAACCACAGACTAAAGTGAAAAGAGACAAGTGCCCAGCTCACCTTCAATGAGGCTTTTCTTATCTCACCATGCCAACCTTACTCCACTGGGTGTAGATAGATGATTGTGCCTACTGAATGGGGTTGGGTTGGGGGGAGCATGAGCCTGTTGGTTACACAACCAAGAAGTCAAAACAGGCAATAGGGAAGATGGCTCAGGTGTTAAGAGCTCTTGCAAAAGAGTGAGTTCATTCCCGGCACCCACATTGTGGCTCACAGCAGTGTAACTCCAGTTCCAGGTTACTCAGTGTCATCTTCTGGTCTCCACAGGCTCCAGGCACAGACATGGTAGTACACATACATACATACACTCATACATAGAAAATAAATAAGTCTTGCTGCCCTGGAACTCATTCTGTAGACAGGCTGGTCTCAAACTTAGATCTGCCTATCTCTGACTCCCAAGGGCTGGATTAAAGGTGTTCACCACCACTACCAGGCTAATAACTTGTTTTAAAAAACAAAGAAATCAGAATATCAACTAAGTTAGATGAACTTTCTTTAAGACTCTTTACCTTTGCTGTCCTAATTCTCCAAACTCTGAGAATGTTTACTTCTCTTGAAGTATTTAGTTGTGTATGGGTGTGCGCACACACTTGATTGTGGTCAACCTCAGGTGTTGTTCCTCGGAGCCATCACTGTAGTTTTTGAGACAGGATCCTTTACTGGAACTGGGGGCTCATAGACTGGACTAGGCTGACTGGCAGGCAAGCCCAAAGGATCCATTTGTCTCCACCTTTCCCATCCCCGGTTCTGAGATTCTCTCTCTCTCTCTCTCTCTCTCTCTCTCTCTCTCTCTCTCTCTCCATAAATAAGTGTAATTTTAAAAAATTAAAGACTCTTTACTAGTAGCAGACAGCCCCCCACATCCCTCACACCCCAGGCAGCCAACATCCTTCTACCCCAACAAAAAAGAGGTTTCCTCTCAGGAAAAACCGAGCCAAAGGGTCTCTGCCATCAGGAACAGCAGGCCTGCTGGAGGATGAGTGTTGAGTAAGTTTGCTAGCTGGTAGGGCAAGCTCACACACACTGGAGGGCTGAAAACAAACAGAGGCCTAAAATCAGTGTCCTTCTTTGCCCCTTCTGGTTTCTAATGGCTTCGGTGTTCCTTGGCTTGTGGCCGTATCACTCCAGCCTCTGGCTTTGTCTTCCCATGATCTCATCTTTTCTGTAAGCTACTTACTTACTTGTAAGACACTTGTCACTGGATGTGACATCTGGGAAACCCTCATCCAGTTACATCTGCAAAGATTCTTTTTCTGAATAGGCTGCCATTGGAGCCTTTGTGGCTTCCAGGCATCCATGATGGGCATATTTGTTGGGGGAAGCCACTGTTCAATCCACTTTAGGCCCTAAACTGGGAAAGGGGGTAATAGGGAAGTCTGTACCCTGAACTGTGGGGTTGCAGCTCTTTTCCCCTTCCCACTTCTCAGCATCCTGAAAGGCAGGTTTCTACTCCCACGTGAGAGATGGGAGACCCACTTCAGAGAGACTGGCCTAGGTGGAAGTCTCCACACACCAATGCCAGGCTTCTACTAAGGAAGCAGCTCTGCCCCACCTGACTGCCTTCCACCTGAGAGAGCCTCGTGGAGCTGTCAGGTGTCTCCTGGCAAATAGGAACAGACAGTGAGGATCACCACAGGTGTATAAGAAGTCTCCAACCCAGTAGACAGAGACCACAGTGGCCACACGGGAGAGGAGGGGAGAGGGATGTGAAGAGACAAAAACCTCCTCAAAGAGCTCTCTTTTCCAAAGGAAGCAGAGCAAATAAACATACAGAGTTTATAAAGCAATTTAAAGCAAAATCCATGGGGGCTCAGCAGATAAAGGCATGTTCAGACAAGCCCCATGAGCTAAGTTTCCTGCCTGAGACCCACGTGGCGGGAGTGAGGTGTCCCAGAGGTTGTCCTCTGATTTTCACGTGTGTACTGTGGCATGTGCTTGCATACACAAACATACACACACAGACTAAATAAATAAATAAGCAAATAGAAGCTGACCTAGCAGTTAAGGGGAGATGGCTCAGCAGTTAAGAGTACGTCCTGCTCTTGCAGAGAATCCAGGTTCAGTTCCCAGCACCCACAGGCAACAAGCATCTGTAACTCCAGTTCCAGGGAATTCCAAATTGGATTCTGGCTTCCACAGGCACCAGACACACAAATGGTACACACACACACACACACACAGGCACTCATACACACAAGATGAAGTAAAGAAATCCTTAAAAACTATTTCCAGAGAAGGAGCTGGAGAGATGGCTCAGCAGTTAAGAGCACTGGCTGCTCTTCCAGAGGACCTGGGTTCAATTCCCAGCACCTACATGCCAGCTCATGGCTGTCTGTAACTCAAGTTCTAGGGATTTTGATACCCTCACACAGACATACATGCAGGCAAAACACCAGTGCACAGACAATTTAAATTAATTATATATTAAAAATTATTTCCAGAGAGATGGATGTGTGTTACATTTATGAAGTTAAAATAAGGAACTAGATGGGGTGTCATAGGGTTGTACACCCAGTACTTGGGAGATCGAGGCAAGAGAACCCTGAGTGAAAGGCCAGCCTTACATGCACAGTAAAAACCCTGTCTTAAAAAAACAATCAAACAAACTATAGAGTCATTAAGAAAAATAGTGCTTTTAAAAGTTAAAAAAATATGCTAAAAGGTAGCTTATATTCAACATGAGAGTCAAGAGGTAAATTTGTGGACGCTTCCCACTGAGCAAAACAAGCAAAGAGTGGGGAGGGAAGGGAGACAAGAGATAG